GTATTCGACAATGCGATAGTTCTTAAAATCGCGTATAAATAATTTTGCATAGGCTATCCGAGACATACAAATAATCTTTAACAAATCTACGGGCGAACACTTTGCAACTCCGGGCACGATAGGCACGTAAGTTAACGATCCACAATGACTCATCAAGGCCCCGTATATATACGCATTTTAGATTCGCTTCGGTGAGCCGATCTACTGAAGATATTCTTATCATTCCAAAGAGTATACAGAGGGGTTTGGGGAGATCTATGGCTCAGGTTAGTGCATGTAAAGAGAGAAGGGCGGCAGAGAAGGATTCATAAGGTTAAGGGTTAACGTTAGGAGTTAGGGGTTAACAGGGTTGTATGATGCATGCCGTCCGATATGAGAAAGGGTTAACAGAGTTTGTTTCGGCGCATTTCCTTCTGACTCGGAAAAGGGTTAGGGTTTAGAGAGAGCCGAGTCATGACCATCACAGAGTTGGTTCCGTTCACTTCTCGACCAAAGAGCTCGATTTTCATGCTCCTTATATTAGTTATATATGCTCCTGAAGAAGAGGTCTCTATATGTCAGCAGTTTTCATGTACACACCCAATTTCCAACTGTTGCTCTCACGCTCGCTTCTTGGTTTGGCACCACACTGGACACTGCCATGCTGGTCTCAAATTTCACTCTACCAGACATCCCCTCCACCTAAATACAAAGTCTATTCAATGACTGCGGCTATCATGCATGGCTTACTCGTTCTCTATCTGTTTGCATCAATTTCTAATCTGAAAAAGTTTAAACCTTTCATTGTACAGTTGCATTGACTTGCCAATGTCTAATTTAAATTATTTTCTCACTGACAATTTCAATTCAGCAAAGATCGAGTATACTTATGTGTCTGTTTTGCATACTTCCTCTCGACTAAATCGATATAAGTATAAGCTGAACGTACATCTTGATAATTACAACGCTGTTTTTTGTACGCTTCGAAAAAACTGTACTTTTTCGGTGAAGTTGAGCGGCCGTCGAAACTCAGGTGGCATAAACCAGCTTTTTAAGTCCAGCAACTGCGGTGATAAAACAAAGCAAATCCAGCAGCCACCTTCACGGCCATAACTTGGCCGTATCTTGCCGTACTTATCCAGATTTTCTGCTCAGTTTTTGAGAGCTCAGGATCCGGGCAGAAGATTTTATTTAAAGGCAAGTCGAGGAAAAAATTCCTGTGACAAAAAAGCGCTGAGAGCGAAAAATTGATCATCAAAGCCCCGTAAAGTGGGAAATTATATCGAGGGAAGGCAGGGACCTGGCGCTCTTACGAGGGAAGGCAGGCAATTTGATCTATTCGTACAATCGTGCAGAATATGTCGGATGTTGTCTGTTTTTCTTCAATTTCTCACAAATAGTTTTGCGATATTCACCTCTTAGTTAATTATTTTTCAATTGATGGAGTTTTTACCTTCTGCTTAATTGAATCTTGAGTGACTGCTTTAAGACTGATAACTGTTTTCTTATATCTTATATAGAATACTACCAGGAAAATTAAACCTCAACCAAATCAAGATAAGACAAAATTTAATTTGATTTATTTAAAAATCACAACGCACACCCACGCTGTTCGATTAAACCTTTAATCCAATTCAGGTTACAAATTACATTCTCCATCAGTGTAACATCTTGAACACTATTGCGCCCTTTTGGACGAGCCGCTTTACATAAAAAAAGCTACTTATAAAGGGCTCCTTACCTTATCAAATATAATCAATATAATCATCGGAGATAAACGTGGCCTTTGAATTCCCATTCGTTGGCCGCTTACAAGCCGCCTCAAATTTTCAATGGCAAAGCTCTAGTAACTTGATTACTTGAACGACCAATACGAGTAATTAGATTTCCGCCACAAGCCAATCACATTGTAACCTCGGCCTACATTTTTATATTCTAGGCCTACATTTTTTAAGGCAAGGCAAATTTTTTTCATAGGACACGGAATGTTGTTAGGGTGTGAATTCCATCGACTGCGCCGAATTTTTAACAATTTCTCATAGGATAAATAATAAATGCACATTTTTATTGTGTGCTAATGTTGAGTATAAGTATACAAGAAGTATACCTACATCCTGTCGGGTCGGGATAATACCTGGACCTGAAATTTCATGTTGACTTAGCGGCAACTTTGTGAGACATTGTGAAACAGGAGACTTGATAAAAAATTTAAATTGTTTCCTGGTGGAATAGGAGTTACTACATATTACAATATTACATATTAGTAATCCCCGATTACAATCGGGGATTAGGAGTTATTTCACGGGGGTTAATATTGTTTTTGCTCTTCTTTAATCCCCATCGCTCCAGCTGTGTATTATTACGTTGCTGATTTAAGTCCGGTATATCTACTGTATATGTCAATGAATGTCGTAATTGTCATCTCTTCATGGCACCGCTGGGATTGCGTGTTAGCTATTGTTAATATTGACTTTAAAGGGTCCAAGCGATGCTCGGGGAAGTATACCGAGAGTAAATAATATACGTAACGAGAATCAATATTTCTCATATTAATAATTAATAGCTAGAGGAATCGACATATTTTTGTATGGTAATAATCATTTGATAGGCCAAATTAACTCCCGTGTGGTCTAGTGGCTAGGATACGCGGCTCTCACCCGCGAGGCCCGGGTTCGATTCCCGGCACGGGAAAACCTTTTTGATAATAAATGAGGATTGTTAATACGTGCATTTTGAAGTAATACGTTGATTCGTCTCCCAAGTAAGTGGTTCTACTGCAGTCAGGAACAGATACTCCTGGAGGGAGTAAGTGAAATAGAAATTAGCCTCGAGAAATTTATGATTTTTCTAGGCGATGATTTGTCCACTTTACACTTACTAAGTCGGCTGGAGTTACTTTGTAACTTGAAAATTTCTTATTCCGTTTTTTCTAATATGGTCGGTTCACAGTCATAGGCACTTATTTAACAGAATGCAGTAACAAACATAGAAAGAAACAAATCTCACGTGCCCATAACCTCGTATCTTTAAGTGAACTCATTGACGTTGACATTTATTTCGCAAGTATTTACTCATCAGCGCATCAGAGACATTCCGAGTCAATCGCAACACATGGTTGAATTAATACATATATTAATTAATCCAACCATGACCGCAACCGCAATTGTCCGAGACGTGAATTCAAATATGTTTTTAGAAAAAGACATAATCGTTGCATCAAATAGGCAGGAAAAACCATTGAATTTTTGATTATTCAGCAGTTATAAGCTATTAAAATTGTTTTGACATGATGCAAAGTCATTATAATTTTATTGCATTCCAGAGATTCCCACTTTTAAATGGTCCAGTGCTCCTCTAATTGAACAGTTTTCTTTCGTTCACGTATTTTCCTTGGTGTCTTGGTTTTGCGGAGAAGAAAAGAGGAGGTAAATATTGAAATGTTTCTGGCTCTCCGACGTAACTCTTTAGCGTTTAGTTGTACATTTCTGTCGCCTTTCGTTACTCGTAAAGCGGTATGGGATAATGGGTGTTTTTTTCTCGTGGTATTCGAAGCTCAATTCAATCGGCCCTCAATATATTGGAAGTACTATGTAGTCAATTTTGTCCTTATATCTTGTTGATAATAAAAGGTAGGAACGTCTCAATTCTCAAAGGTACCGATGACACGTTGGTAGTCGGTACTATGGTCGCGAAATTATTCACAAAAGTGGCTTGAGGCTTCTAATAAAACGGACACTTTTTCCTTATTAAATTACTGCACGAATTACTTTTTTGAGCTAATGATTGGCGGAACTACACCTCTCACCTCCTACATGTATCTGTGCATATTAATAAATAACTTTAATCACTGACTGCATTTTATGATTATTATCAAAGAATATTTCCTACATGTACGAGAACTGCGATATCGCCTCTTTGAATTAAACACTTCTCATGTTCTCAAAGAATTGATATGTTATACAACTATTTCTCTGTGTATGCATCAATTTATTAAACCAGTCGGGCAGTGGCAGTTGTAGGCACATGTGCCAACTTCAGAGCTAGAGGTAGTTACTAGGCTAGTTAGGCTAGCTAGCCTAGTACAGTAGGTACTACCGTAGGGCGTAGGCTACTAGCTTGAGAGTTGAGATCAACTCCTGATTCCTTTACATTGATCAACATTTGCAGTCTGTCTCCAGCTTGGGAAAAGTCCCTACTTTTTTCTGAAATATCGCAACTCTAATAATCATACAGGCTAGCTAAATTCAGTAGGTATGAAATCTCATGACATGGTGACAAACTAAATACTTTTTAGAATCAGATCAATTCTAATTTCCTTATTTACTCAAGATTTAATCCAATTTCTTACGTATGATAATGCTGGTATGGCTAATATTGGGGCCCAATATTAGGTGGAACATGGAAATGATGTAATTCTAACATAGCTATAGTGCTCAAAGGTATTTGTGGGCAGAGACGGAGTCATGTAATCTCCCAGTGGTATCCATGATACTTAACTGGTCTACTTATAGGACACAAAAATTAACTATAGGGACGGAGAGTCTAAAAAACTCTGCTTTGGCCTCTTGCCACACAGCCACTATATATGTCTTGTGGCTCTAACGTCATTTATTTTTGTCTGATTGAAAGAAATTGCTGTTTGCACTTTGCAAACGTGTCATTTAAAAAAATGTTCAAATTCTGCAATCTGCAGTACTTCAACCGTTCAATGCTCCCGCCAAAATATCCTGCAGAACATAATGGTAATGAGTAAAACCAAAATGTTTTGTTGAAAATCATTTAGTTGAGGTCATGTCAGTTGTCACTTGTCAGTGTGGTCACTGGTCAGACTGCATTATTATGTGTTCAATGGCCACTAAAGTAAAGACAAATATTACTGTTGCTGTTTCTAGGGTGAAAATAGAGATTTGGAGTAACATGTGCATAGCCACAGGACATTGTAAATAAGTTTGCAGCTTGTAAATAACTTCATGGCCAAGAAATGAAATTCATGGCTCAAAGAAATTAAATCACAGCTGGCAAATCTATACAAAAACGGCTAGAAAAAATCCAGTTGCCGCTCACCCAGTAGATATATTTCATGCCTGTTAGTCTCTCTGCATAACTCTCTTGGTGTCAAGTCTCTCTGACTTGACACCAAGACTAAGTGTTCTGGCCATCTCAAGGCAATCTAACAGTTGACCAAACTGGTATTCTTTATTTGAATTTTTTCCTTTCATTTGTGTTTAAATATTTCTGAATGGAATGAGAATAACTACCACTAATTGAGGTGTGGCACTTGTTGCTCCCACTCGACTCGAGTGGTTGATGCTCCCAGACTGCCCAGGTGAGTGGTTGCTGGTTGGTGCCCCCATCAGGGCAACAGGTGAGTGGTTTACATATGCCCCTAGCCTCCAGGTGAGTGGTTAGTGTGTCCAGGTGTGAGGTTGGTGTCCCCAGGTGTGTGGATAGTACTCCCAGGTGAGTGGTCAGTGCTCTTGGTGAGTGATTGGTATCCCCAGTGTGACTGCTCTGGAGTGGGACTCTGTATCATTCCTCCTAGACTAGAGCTCTAGGGGTGAAGCAGAGAAAATCAATGAAGAGCCAGAGTGTCAAGAGAACCATAGATAAGGGTTATGCCTTAAAGCCCTTCTGACCCAGAAGTTATGGATTTGACCCTAAACTCTTTATATACCTAGCATATAGGCTATGGGATCAAAAGAGCACCTTGTTTGCTTGCTTCAACATCCTTCTGTTGAAACATGAATAACTGAAATTCCAATGGCTGCTTTTCACTCTCTCACTGTGGCATGGTTCTCCTTCCTGAGTACAAAGCCTTTTCTACCATTTAACCATACATTCATGATTTCATCATCCCTAAAATGTGATCTATACTCACAGCCCTCCAAACCTAGAAAGATGCATGTCTGTTTCTACCTAATTTCCTAATACAGATTGGTCCCTAATGACTCTTAAATCCCTATTCAATCTTTAATGCACAGATTTTTTCCCACTTCATAGCTACCATTTTTATGCTAAAGGCATACTCACTCAAATGACTCAATGCTTTGCTATTTGTCAGGTTTCTAAAAAAATGGGTTGAGAAATTTTTTACCATTGTTTGTTCAATATATAAATTTTTTTTAATTTCTCAAATTAGTTTTTTCTTTCATAGAATTTCCTCCTCATGAGCAAGATTGGAAAATTCATATTCATTAAGGAAATCTTGTAATTCAATCATGCACTTTTTCAGCCATTATGTTAAAGATAATTAATTTGGTGTGGATCTTCTGCCTATAAAAATGGTGGAATGCTCTCCTAACACTTCAGAAAGTAGATAGTATATTCCATGCCTGCACAAGTGTTGCTAGGCAAAATTCCTTTCCAAAATCATTGTCACCAATTCCACTGTTACCACTTGACATCAAATTGTTCTTCAATATAAGCTGCATAATTTCTTTGTTGACCTTTTATGTGCGCAAGATTTAGATCTGTGACATGTTGAAAATTTTCACACAAGAAAATTCTGAGAAAGGAATAATGCTTCCCTCTAATAATTTTATGGTGCATATGTGCCANTCACACAGCAAACGGAATTCGAACACGTGGATGACGGCATTACGTATCAGTAGAATTTGAAGCGCGGACGGAATATGCCTCACCACGTGCCAAATATTGCCACACACAGTGACGGAATAAAGGGATTTGGTAGGTTTGCATCCTAAAGGCTTTTACATAAATATGGCAACATTTTGTGACGTTTCATCGTTGCCGACGCGTAGTACGGTGTTTCGAGAGTCACCTAAAGCAAACAGAACTTGAGTAACCCATACGGTTATTTTTTATAGTTTTTCATTTCTCGATGCGTCCTTAATGTGACGGAATATACCGCGTTTACCCTATAAGCCGCATAAGTCCTTTGTTGACCTTTTATGTGCACAAGATTTAGATCTGTCACACGTTGAAAATTTTCACACGAGAAAATTTTGAGAAAGGAATAATGCTTCCCTCTAATAATTTTATGGTGCATACATGCCACTGCAGATATTACATACAACAGTATGTGCATCAGTGCATACAATTTCTCACATTTATTTGAACAACTTGCAGCTTTTTATGCAGTGATCATTACTAACTACATTTTAGGTAATATAGTAATCACTGATCTGCATGATTTTTTTAAATTTTCTTTTATTCATATACTTTATATGAAATATAATCAAAATTTTTCATTTCAGGTTGTGTAAGGTGCTACTTTCAGAATGACCATCTATAATATGTACATGTTTGACCGCAATGGAACATTGCTTCATTATGCTGAGTGGCACCGCAATAAAGAAGCTGGAATGTCACGCACGGAGGTCAGTACTATTATTATTCAGTGTTTAGATGACAAGAAAGATTTATTTTCATTGAAGAATGTGTATTGAAGGTATCAATGTGTATATCTTAATTATATTTTACATGCAGCTTCACTTTATGTCTCACATTGTTACTTTGATTTGTTGATTTTTTCATTGATGAGATCATTATTTTATATTGAATTCTAAAGTTTAGTAGGTTTGTTTTAAATTTTTGTCTTGTGGATTTTGAGCTTTGCAGTACATTTTATCTGTAAGTGTTACATTTGAGATTTACTTGTGTGAGTTAGATTGAATTTTGACCAATTTCAAGATTGAAACCCTATGAGTAATTATGATTGCCAAGTGATTTATCAATCTGTATAATTTAGCAAATTGCCAAATTGAAAGAATGGGATGAAAAAGCCCATGTTTTCTAAGACTTGATACTACCTCAACCTTTTAGCAGGCAAGTTACTTGATATGCCATGTGTTTGATGCTATATTATCATTTCTCTGCCTATCTCAAAACATGTGCCCATCCCATCACTCCCTGCCATGCCCAGGAATTAAAAGATGTACATATAAATGAAAGTTTTGATATGGGGAGTGAAATTGACACTCTTTCCACATTTTTTGAAAAGTCAGAAGAGGCAATATCAATTTAATTGATTTAAAGTAGCTTCAGAAAATCAAATTAAATTGCAGCTTGGTAGTTTCCCTTTGAATATGAATTGATAAAAAATGTTAACTTCATTTAGCGTGGTGACCGCTTCTTATAGAACTTCAGCTGCAATTTACTTCAATATCATGCAAAATTTTGAAAAGCCACTATGAGTATATTAATTTATAATTCTCAATACTTTCTTGTAGTGGCTCTAGAAATTCAAATATAGTAGTACTACTGTCATTTTCAAAATCCAATTTCAAGTCTTGTAAAACCATCACCAGCTTGATAATGAAAATTGTATTTTCGAAACGTTGCAATATATTAAAATGTCATTTGGAAACCTGCTTTTTGATCTCCTGGCGCCAGCAAGAAATTTGGTTTGACTCGTTGAAAAAACAAACAAGAAGATTATTAATAAAAAGCATGCTCTGGTCTTCAATCAAACTTGCATAAAAGAAAATATTCAGCTGAACTACACCAAAATTTAAATATCTGCATATTTCTATGCTTCCTTGTGAAAGGGTTTTAACATTGTATTCATCCTAGAATGAGAATTTAATAATGGAATTCATGAGTACTATAATTTTATTTAGGTACATATTTTTTTTTTACAGGAGGCCAAGCTCATGTACGGCATGATTTTTTCCCTCAAGTCATTCGTGTCTAAGGTCAGTATGTTTCTTATATGATTTTTCTGTATTTAGAACATACAAGAGAAGAATAGTCAACATATGCCTGAACTTTTCTTGTTAAATTTAAAAGTCAAATCTGTAATATTAGATATTCACTGGGAGGCAGAATGATAGCCTGCAGTGGGTTTTTGTTAAAAGATTCATTTTCAATATAAATATGAATTTGGATTTCTCCCTCTTGAATATTCACATATCTATAGGTACCAATTTTTGGTTTCTGTATTATGTATCATATAACAGTGAAACTCTGTACAATTTATTTCTATAATTTCCATGTACAGGCAACTCATTCTATCATAGTTTTTACATTTTGCTCAAGTTTACAACATTTCACAGGTTTCTCCCCTTGACATCAAGGATGGTTATCTGCACTACAGCACCAACAAGTACAGATTGCACTTGTATGAGACACCATCCAGGTTACGAATTGTGCTAAACACTGACCTGCTAGTACAGAATGTCAAAGAACTTCTGCACCTCATATTCTCTCAGGTTAGTAGCTCCAGAATATAAAAATATATCTCAGTACTCACTGCAGTGAGTGACAGAGAGCGCATTTTCTCGTCGACGAAAACGTAAAGTCACGGACGGACAGACAGATTTGGGTTTTTCTTTATGCTGATATGTTGAAGCATAACCGCCATAGTACGAGTTCAAACTTTCTCTGTAAAATTTTCAGTCATCTCTTTGTTTATTCCAGTTTTTAAGTGATCTTCTTCACCAGGTGTACGTGGAGTACGTAGTGCACAACCCTGAGTGTGCCCTGGGGCAGCCCATACAAAGTCAGCTGTTTGCAACGCGCCTAGACGAGATCGTGAAGCAACATCCTGGATTTGCAGTGCGCAGTGTGTAAAGTTGCAGTGCGCCGTGTGTAAAGTTGCAGTGTATACTGTATAGTCATCACAGCAATCGGATTCGACAGTTTTGGCAAGTATTCATACTTTTTCATTGTACTCTTTGATGAGCAAATTGTTCAGACATGATCTTTAAAGAATTCCTTGGTAAGTACCTTCATCTGACGTAAATATTTGGAAACTAATATGGTCGAACATTTAATTATGACACTGAAATTGGAATAGTCTGAATATAGTGTTGGAATAGTGAATATAGTGTATAGTGACTGAATAGTGTCTGAATATGACACTATTATTCTTTAATATCTATTGTCAACTTTTCTTCTGTCAAACATCGCATGAGTTCAACATTTTCTGGGATTATTACTTAATTCTTTTAGTTAATCAGTAGATCTATCGTTCCGTTTCTTAGCCTTATTTATTTATTCTTTCTCCCAGCCTTTATTGGTCAGGGTTAATTTCTACACGGCTTTGAATTTACCCGATCATAATCTGCTGTGGAATGCTCCTTTAGTACGGGAATACAAATAATGTCAGCTAGTTTAATGAGTGAATAGCGACAAAACAAAGGCTGTTTTACCTACTTTGTGTTGGTATGCGGACCACTGCGCATGCTCGTGCCGATCTCATTGCTTGATAGGATGTAATGTTATCTTCCATGAGGTCACCACAGCTTAGCTACGTATCATTTCTTCTTATGTTCTGATTGGCCGTTTTTCTTTGATACGAGGTACTATTCCAGAGTTAAACATGCGAACTGGTACTCATATATAAATATGGAATTTATTTATAAGTGATGTGCGTGAATCCTTTATTGTTAGAACATGATGATTACTGACTAGCTAGAGAAGACGTCGGATGTTTTTTGCTTCGAATCGACCAAGTAATAGTTGCCAACCTGTAAAAATTTGTCACCCAATTCAACAACACTTCAACACTCCTTGGATATCACCCATTCCATTTGTTTTATGCTCTATTGAATATATGAAGCTTTTGCATGGTGATTCACTCCTTATTGTATATTCCATAGTATTATCAATAGAACAATAGATACTGTACGTGGTATTTCAAATGACTTGCATGTGCACTCTAAATCTGCCTTAAATTACAGTTCTTTAGTATCATAGGACTGACATTGTAAAGGGTTCTTTTGTTTGTCGTAGTCCTAATTGATATTTCATGTAACGAGTTGTTTGTTTTTGTACAGTTTCTACTGGGAATTGTTTCTTTAACAGTTAAGTTGACATATTGCGAACAAAAACTACATGGAAGGCTACGCTGCTCGTGTTTTAATTGAGAAACCTATTGCCTATTGACAACGTATTGTATTTTATTAACTAGAAAACGTGTTGATAAGTATTTATTATACATTGTTAAGTTTTGTTTACAATTTAATATTTTTGTAATTCATATTTGTTTGATTAACCTATCGTGGGCTGCTAGTTTTCCAATGGTCGTTTTTTTTACTAAATTCAAAATATAATAGAAAACCATATGATTATTGTTCAGTATTCCTCGATGAATGAATTCTCACACGTATTAATGCTAATGAATATATTGCGACTATGCAAAGATTCCGTGTTGGCAGACAGCTATGGTTGAAAAAGATTTGGTTTTGTATATGAATTTGTTATTTGTGTACTGTTACTCAGAAAGCGCTGTACAATTCGGGCAGTTTTTACTAAAAATTTTTTATCCACCCTCAAGGTTTCATTTGATAATGTCGATTTTCTGACGTCATACTGCTCAAGTAACTCGCCCTAAAATTCTGCGTTATGGAAGGAAGATAATGGTTAGCATTATTGCCGAGATTCAAGGGTTATGACAATTAACATGGTTCACCCTAAATATTTTCTGTGATTTGTTTCAGTAGAAAACTTAGCTGAGAAACGCAAATTATATGTCTAGTTTGTTGCGCTGTTGCTTAGGATTGTCGATCCCTACACTACACACAATTTGAGATTCCCGTCATCTCAAATCCTTACATAATACTTACTAAACTGATAGAAAATTGATTGTAGAAAGATCAGTTCAACTCATTCATAATTCTGAACTACCTCAGGGCTCAGTCCCTTTCAGCTTCTGTTTCGAAATTTGACAAAAGATGTTAGCTTGTACAGGGTCCGCCATATTTATGGCAACGCATGTTTTTTTGTTATTTCTCAATGAAACAATCAGGTGTATTGTTTTTTTTTTTATTGGATGAGCTAGTAGCCAATAATCACCTAAACAATTCTCAGACATATTTAATCAATATGACCACCCTTATTTGAAAAAAAATAAATTAATTAATCAATTCTAAATTCTAATTAAAGACATATAATAGTTAATGACGGCCTCCAATCTACGCGGGAAAGCTTCGCAGGAGACACGCAGCATTGCTTGAGGGATCAAGTCCCATTCTCGTGTCAATTTAGACTTCAAACTATCCAAAGAACCATGAGGTGTTCTGCAGACCCTATTCCCTAAAATCGCCCACACAGTAAAGTCGGGAGGATTAAAATCAGGGCTTCTCGAGGGCCATTCATTTTTGCTAGTGAACGCTGGGATGTGACCCTGAATCCAGTTTTGGGTCATGTTTGAGCCATTTTGGATATAACCGCTTCGTATATTCTTTACATTGTTATTCTCTATGTAACACAAGAACTTTTCTGCTGTAAAATATATGCTAGACCCCCACTCTGGCTTCATTAGATTTTCTCCTTGTGAATAAATTTCTTTATTCTAGGGAAGCTCGTTAAGTTTCACTGACTAAGTAGCATCAGTAATGGATTAAAATTAACACTTTTATTAATTTTTTTGGATTAGGTTTTATACAGAAGTGCACATTGGCAATAAATCACTACCTCACGTTGAGTTGATAACAGCCAAAGATGTTTATAAAGTAATTTTTCATATTGAATGTAAAACAGAGATTCATATTAAGAATGAAAAACAGATGTCCGACAGGCAATGAATACGTGTGTGTAACGTCTTTAATTCCTTACATGTGGCATGTATACATCAACACTGATTACTAACATCTCTACATTCCATTGCCAGGTTTTCCGGGCGGAACTATGCACATCTAAACCGATCTTGACCTCATTGAAACGACGTTATTAATTGACATAACCTTCCTGCGAGCGCTTCAGGAATTTTTTCTGTTTAAATTTTATTCATCGAGTTAAAGGCTGATCGATTCGGTGATTTTAGCATCTGTTAACACGCTTAACCTTATCGAATCGAAACCGATCTTCATCTAATTAACAACGAAGATATATATTCTCAATTCATTCTTGCGAACGGATAAAAAATCCAATAACCATCGCAATACCGTATTGTAAATAAATAGCTTCGTTATTAATTACGTGAAGATCGTTTTTTTTACCAAGTTTTGCCTGTAAAACCTGCTATGAGAATTCGCCCCACAGGGATGCGAGCGGTATTAGTGACAAGGATGTTTGGAGTCATAAGTCGAAATCGGCCATTCTTCACCAGACAATACGTAAAATTCGAATTATATTCTTGATGGTAATTGTTAATTCTATGTTGTATGGAAAATGCAATTTTTATTCTGGATGGCAATTGTTAATTCTATGTTGTATGGAAAATGTAAATTTTATTCTGGATGGTAAATGTTCTATGCTGTATGGTAAATGCTGCTGCCACAATGCAGCTTGGCCTATGCAATGGTATATCGCTTTTTATCATGGTTCTTTATTTACAGAGTGAATATCTCAACATCATGCTTTTGCTTCTTTTGAATGGTAATTTGATGATGATTAAATTGGTGATGCATAAAGGATGCAAGATTTTTTGAAGAGTGCATTTGTTACAGTGAATTTTTTTCAACAGGTACGTACGCGGGACCTTGTCAATGATGAATTCATCGGATGAGAATTGTTTCCACGTTACAATCGTAACTTTTCTGACATGTGATGATGACGCATGCTGGTGCCATATAATGTGACGCATGCTGTTTCTATGATGTTCTTGATATCCACTTCTACAATACGTGGTGGCCTAATGAGTAAGATCAGCGATATTCTAGCAGTTAGTTGCGGTATCGAAACCTGCAGCTAGCTGTTAGAATTCTTCGGTGTCTGGAAACTGCGACAGGCAAAGCATAGCTCAATCTTTAATGCTGAGACCACTGTGCTATATTATTTAACGCTGTGGAGCATATGTTAGTGCTAAACTCTAATTTCAAGGCTGTCCTTATGCATAGACAATGCAATAGCCTAGCTGTACCAATTCGCCAATTGCGCCATTGACTTGCTGGCCTAATGACAGCCCACTCTTGTTAAAATATTGTTCTTACAAATTTGTATATTTTTAGTTTTTCTGGTGAAATTTAAGCTAGAAGGTGTTTATTTTGATAAATTTTATTGATCATTCTTTGTTCCAAGTTCAAAATCAATCAGCTGCTTAGTTGCTGTTTGTATTGAAAGATTCTGAAATTGCCCAATGCATTTTGCAATATCGGTAAAAATTGGAAAATTTTTACTTAACTTTTCTCGCAAGTGATGCTTCTTGATTTAATTGGACGATATTAATAAGGCTGCAATGGCTTCCCAGAACATGTCCGGTACGGCTTCGGCTCAAATATGCGCGACTAATTTGCTAACTTGGAAAGGTAATCCATTGACGCAGAACTTCGCCGAAAATCCTACATTTTTCAAGTAACTTCGCCTCGGATTTGATTTAATGGCTATCTCGTAGGAGTCTTCTCATATGAATCCTTTCGCGTTTTCAGGGGAAATTTTCCTGAGTTCCTCACCACAAAGTTCGCGTTTTCTCACTGCAGTCTCTGTTCTGGAGTTGAAATGTCGTGTAGGCAGTATTCTTTGATCTTCTCCTTCTTTCCGACTCGTGCGAGCTACCGACTTACCGACTTAGTTTAGCAACATATAGTATAGGAGTTCAAGTTCTGTTGCAGTTCATCGTCTCCAAAAGATGTTAACGTCAACTCTTTGTCGTCATTTGAGACCTGCCGCCTCTCGATGCTGTTGATTATTTTTTTTTAAACTGGTCGACTGATAAACTAAAACGTACTTTGTGTTATGATAGGGAACTTCAACTTAGTTTGTCGATGAATAATTATAATCATTTTCCTTAGGTTCAAGATAGGTTTATGATTGAATGTTATTTGTTAACGTTGAATCATCACACTTCTACCATTGCCAACTCCCATAGCGCCTACATCGTCATTTAAAAAAATGTTTTGGCTCTCTTGTACAGTTTGATTTCCTCAGCCATAGGTGTCGTGTCAAGATTTATTAAACCAATTTTACACTGTAAAGATGCTGGAACCTTCCGATATGTGCAAATGTTTACATGCTTCTTCAAGAAATATCTAAAATTTCAATTGAGAATCTGAAGAAATACATATACTGTACGCGGCATTTCACTTGCATGTGCACTTTAATCTGTTCTAAATTAAAGTTCTCGAGTACCGGTACGTAGGTGCAAAGGACTGACATTGTAAAGAGTTCTTTTGTTTGTCGTAGTATTAATTGATATTAACTAACATTAATATTGAGAGGTATCGGGAAACGTAATTTGATTGCATGTCTTCGTTTTTATTCGACCAATATTAGCCAACATGTATTCTTTTCTACTATTCTTAGCAATTGGTGATTTATCAGCTATTTAACTTTTAGGCCTCATCCTTATTTTCATCCCACTTCTATTCTATTACATGTTTTGGTCATAATGACATAATGAGAGGCTTACGTTTAATTCATTCTAATGAGATGCCTCAAAGTATTTTTTTTTTCTACAAACGGAGCCTTATGCGAGGTAACATCTGTTAGAGAATTAACCAGTTAGATAGCCAATTAATTAAAATTTGTCTAAGGTCTCGGGTTTGGCCATTTAAAGATACACTTTCATTAGCACTCACTGCGAGCTGGTGACGTTACTTACGTGCAGGTGAAGTCTTCGAACTCAGACTGTTATCAAATGTTATTCAAAATCTGGCCCATTTATTCAATGTGGCTGAACTCAGTCCTCGAGTCAGCACTTCCGACTCATAATTGAAATTTGTAGAAAGTTATAATGGATTTCATGCGATACCAACGAGACGACTAGCGTGGCGCCGCAGCTTTTGTCGGGCGATCTGTGCCAGGGAACGTTGATGTGCGTCAGATTAATTTAATTTAAACCCTAGCTTGTATTTATTTCCAGTGTTCCAGCTATGATAGATGTTCTATTTGTGATGCTGTCACTTTGAAATTGATAATGTAACACTTGCGTGCAAACTCTTGACGCGCACATTCACTCGCAAACGCTGGTCTCATTAATTGATTCGCAAACGCATTTTTCATTCGAATGCACACGCTGGACTCGTTCGGTCGCACATGCAAATT